CTTCTGTTGCCTCACTTTTTAGTAGGATCAGGACATTGGGTAAGGCTCTTGATGAACTGCTTTGTATTTCACTTCAGGTGAAAAGTTACTGTGTTCTCCAAGGTCCTTCTATACCAAGAGCTTATGATTATCTAAAAATTGAACCTTATTGTTCCATATGTTTACTTTAAAATAAAACATAATCACTGGACTCTATTTCTTTCCAAACAGTTTTGCTCACATCTTACCGATAGTAGGTAAACTTTGCTTAAAAAAAATATAACAGCGGACAAAAGACAATAATAGGAAGAATGAGTGAAGATTTACAGTGAAGTATTAAGAGGACAGAGAATGTAATCAAGCAAATTTTCCAAAGAACCTTTGTTGGTTTCTTTTTATGACTTCCCTCTCTAAGCTATTTCTAGATTGCTCTCTTGTTTTGTTTTACTGGTCTATTAACGCAGACCTCTCCTTGTGGGGTCCCAGTTGGGCTTTTCCAAAAGTGCTTGTTGATAATTTCCCTTCATATTCTTTCCTCTTTCTCCAGTGGTTTCACTATCATTTGTTTCATGGTATGTTTATGGACAAAAACAGTTTGCAGAAACTAATTGATTAAAGTATGAGTGAGTCCGATGCTACTTTTTTTTTTTTTTTTTAAATATATTTTATTGATTTTGTACAGAGAGGAAGGGAGAGAGATAGAGAGTTAGAAACACCGAAGAGAGAGAGTTATCGATCAGCTGCCTCTTGCACACCCCCTACTGGGGATATGCCCGCAACCAAGGTACATGCCCTTGACCGGATTCGAACCCAGGACCCTTCAGTCCCCAAGCCAACGCTCTATCCATTGAGCCAAACCGGTCTCGGCCGATGCTACTTTTTGAATTCAAAATCTATATTTGTGTTATTTCTTTTTTTTCTTTTTTTTTAATATATATTTTATTGATTTTGTACAGAGAGGAAGGGAGAGGGATAGAGAGTTAGAAACATCGATGAGAGAGAGTCATCGATCAGCTGCCTCTTGCACACCCCCACTGGGGATATGCCCTCAACCAAGGCACATGCCCTTGACCGGAATCGAACCCGGGTCCCTTCAGTCCCCAAGCCGACGCTCTATCCATTGAGCCATACCGGTTTCGGCTGTGTTATTTCTTTTAAAAAAAGATTAGTTGTTAACCAAATGGACTTAGAAGAATTGCAGGTGGTAAGATCAATGGAAAGCTAGAAAAAGGTTTTAATGAAAGAATTTATAATACTATGATTTCCAGTGAATTTAAAACCTATTAAATCTATTTATTAATTTAGTGATCCTTAACTCACTATTTTCCAATATAAGGGTGTGTTGAGTTCGGTTTTGTTCTGTGTGCTGTCAAGTAAGCATGCCATAAAAATCAGTTCTAGCTTTTAAAGCTATCTGTGTTGAATTTTTAGTTTATATGTGGATAATGATAACAGGTGTGTGTATGTTTATAGGTATATTTGTAAGTGTATTATGTGAGTGAAAGAGACAAGTTTATTATCTTTTTACATTTAAAGTTGACCTGAAAGAATGTATTCAGGCATCTATAAAGAGGGAACTAGATGACTCTTTAATCTTGAAAGTCTGAGTCTTTTCTTTAACCCTATTGAAATTCAAGGCATTGAGCTTTGAAGGATAAATGTAGAGTGTATAGTAGTTCAGTCAGAAATAGGAAAGCTAATTAAGGCCTCGTTTTGACAAGGCTATTCCATTGGAGGGAGTACAGAAAAAATGAACAAGAAATTGGGATTAAAGTAGAGATTAGGTAGGGTAATCTATTGCAGGAGGAAATATCTTTAGGATGAAATAAATTAGATCAATGAAGTCCCTTAAAGCTCTTTATCAAAGGCTTGAAATGGGGACAATAAATATTGGAAGACATTGGTGAATTTTGAGGATGGACTATAAAAGTTCATTATATTAATTTCTTTAGATTGGTTGCAGGAAGGAATGCCAGTGATAAGAGACCCAAATTTTGAAAAGTAGTAGACTTCAGGGTTTTATGAAGACCCTTAAGTGTTTGAAGGAGGCTTTCACATGGATCTTCTGTTACCCTTTTTTTTTTTAAAATATATTTTATTGATTTTTTACAGAGAGGAAGAGAGAAGGATAGAGAGTTAGAAACATCGATGAGAAAGAATCATTGATCAGCTGCCTCCTGCGCGCGCGCACACACACACACACCCGGGGATGTGCCCGCAACCAAGGCACATACCCTTGACCGGAATCGAACCTGGGACCCTTCAGTCCCCAAGCTGACACTCCATCCACTGAGCCAAATTGGTCTTGGCCTTCTGTTTCTTTTTAAATGTCCAATCCTATAGTTTTCCCAGTACAGGTCTTTTACCTCCTTGGTTAAGTTTATTCCTAGATATCTTTTTGTTGTTGTATTGGTAAATGGGATTTTTGTTTTGTTTTATTTCTGAGAGTTCATTATTAGTGTATAAAAATTCCATCAATTTCTGGATGTTAATTCTGCACTCTGCTATTTTTCTGAGTCATTTATTAAATCTAGAAGTTTTTGGTGGAGTCTTTCGGGTTTCCTATGTAATGTACCATGTCATCTTCAAATAATGACAGTTTTATTTTTTCCTTTCTAATTTGGATGTCTTTTAGTTTTTTCTTCTTATACTGCACACAAGAATAAACTCAAAATGGATTAAAGACGTAAATATTAGGCTTGAAACCATAAAAATCCTAGAAGAAAACATAGTAAATTCTGGGACATTTCTCATAGCAGTATATTTTTCTGATATATTTCCCGAGGTAAGGGAAACAAAAGAAAAAAACACATGGGCCCTAGCTTGTTTGGTTCAGTGGACAGAGCATCAGCCAGCAGACCTAAGGGCCTCGGGTTCAATTCTTGTCTAGGGGGACATACCTTGGTTGCAGGCTTCTCCCCAACCCTGGTAGGGGCTCATGCAGGAAGCAACCAATTGATGTGTTTCTCTCACATTGATATTTCTCTCTGTCTTTTCCTCTCTTTTCCACTCTCTCTAAAAAATAAATGAAAAAATGTCCTTGGGTTAAGGATTAAGAAAAGAAAAAATAAATAAACAAATGGGACTACATCAAACTAAAGAGTTTAGCACAGCAAAGGAAACCATCAACAAAATGAAAAGACAACCCACTGAATGGAACAACATATTCACCAATGATACATCTGAGAAGGATTAATATTCAAAATTTATAAAGAACTTATAAAACTAAACACCAAAACCAACAATAAACAGCCCAATTAAAAAATGGGTAAAAGAGCCGAAACCAGTTTGGCTCAGTGGTAGAGCGTCAGTCTGCGGACTGAAAGGTCCGGGTTCGATTCCATTCAAGTGCATGTACGTTGGTTGTGGGCACATCCCCGGTGGGGGGTGTGCAGGAGGCGACTGGTCAATGTTTCTCTCTCATCGACATTTCTGGTTCTCTATCTCTCTCCCTTCCTCTCTGTAAAAAATCAATAAAATATATTTTAAAAAAAATGAGTAAAAGACCTGACTAGACAGTTCTCCAAAGAGGACATACTGGTGGCCAATAGACATATGAAAAGATGCTCAATGTCGGTAATCATCAGAAAAGTGCAAATTAAAACCACAATCAGCTATCACCGCACATCTGTTGGAATGACTGTCACCAATAAGTCAACATACAAGTGTTGGCGAGGATGTGGAGAAAAGGGAATCCTTATGCACTGTTGGTGGGACTGCAGATTGGTGCAGCCACTGTAGAAAACAGTATGGAGTTACCTTAAAAAATTAAAAATGATCCCTGCCAGGTGTGGCTCAGTGATTGAGCGGCAACCTATGAACCACAGGAGGTCACAGTTCAATTCCTGGAGAGGGCACATGCCCAGATTGCCAGCTCCATTCCCTTGTGGGGGGAGGGGTGGTGCAGGAGGTAGCCAATCAATTATTCTTATCATTGATGTTTTCCTCTCCCTTCTCTAAAGTCAATAAAAATATATTTTAAAAAGTAAATAAAAAACTAGAAATGGAACTGCTTTATGATCCAGCGATTCCATTTGAGGGAATTTATCCAAAGAAACCCCAAACACTTAATTCGAAAGACTATATAAACCCCTATGTTCATCAAAGCATTATTTACAACAGCCTATATTTGGAAACAGCCCAAGTATTCATTAATAGATGAGTGGATGACAAAGCCGGGTACACTTACATAATTGAATACTACTCTCAAAAAAAAAAAATTTACCCTTTTGATAGCATGGATAAACCTAGAGAACATTATGCTAAGTGAAATAAGCCAGTCAAAGAAAAGAACCATATGATTTCACTCATATGTAGAATTTAATGAACAAACTGAACTACCAAGCAAAATAGAAACAGACTCATAGAGAGCAAGCAGACAACTCGTGGTGGTGGAAGGACAACAAAATAGAGAGAACTCATGGACATGGACAAAAGTGGTGATTGCAAAGGGCAGGAGTATAGGTAGAGATGGAAGGGGGCATAAAGGGAATATATGGTGATGGAAAAAAAATAAAAATAAATTTCAGGGGAAAAAAATAAACATTTTGCAGACATACCTGTAAAAAAAAGGAAGAGAAACATTTCAAAGCCTATTTTTAAGTGATCTCATAATAGGTCCAGATATAAGAGATTAGCACAATATATAAGTTTGTTCTAAATGAAATAGTGTCTTTTAGAAAGAATTCAGCTTTAGTAAGCTATAATTGACAGAAATTTAAGTGAAATAGAACCATTACACATTATTTGCAGTACACTCATGAGAAAAGTTTTTCTTGGCTTAATTGTTAAATACTGACGAGGATTAAGAAACGTAAGGAATTATTTTTTTTGTTTAGATAATACGAGAATGAACCTCTACATTCATTTTCTCTGTTCTAGCCTCTCAGTAGATTATGGACTTTTTATAGTTTATAAAATGTGTTTATATCAAATGAGTGTTGATCTGTTAATTTTATCTTAAGTTCGTGTTACATTGGATATTCAGAGATAGATACTAATCATTGTGTTTTCTTTTGCAGTGGAACTTCCCCCCTTGCATGCCTGAACGCAATGCTGCACACAAACTCCCGAGGTGAAGAGGGCATCTTCTATAAGGTTCCAGGCAGAATGGGAGTATATACTTTGAAGGTAAATATTTTTGGAGTCATTTAAAAAGGAAATCATGAAGTGACTACATATAAATAATATTTGCATCATAGAGGACAGAATTCTGTTTTTGAAGAGGTGATATTTTTTACCCTATATTCAAACTATTTTCTTTTTACTAATCTGTAACCATTTAGGTAGATCAGAGAAGAGAAATCAATTTATTTTTTATTGTTTATGATAATATTATCTTTAAAGGATGAAATAAAAATGTCTTCCAGAAACTTTTTCAAGGCCTCATATTTAAATAATAACAAGTGATACAGCCTTGATGTGTTGTAGTACCTTCTCATTTAATTCTCCATTACAATTTAGACTTATGGTTATTATTATAATGGAGAAAGCCAAAGTTCAGAAGATTGGATTTTCTTATTGGCCAAATGCCATTAGAATCAGAACTAGGATCTGACTGAATTTCTAAGTCCATGTTCTTTTTACCATAGCAGGCTTCGTAATTTTTAATTCCTGTACTTGAGAAGGAACCTTGACCTGTCCGTGTCCTTTCTGAATGAACTTGAGTAAAACAGAATAGTTTGAGTAAAACAGAATTTATTAGTTTAGATAACTGAAAATTCTAGGGAAACTCAACCGTGATTCAGAAGCTCAAATGATATTATCAGGGATTGGTAACAGTTGATAACAGGGATGTTATCAGATCTCTTCACTTTATTTTGGCTTCACTCTCAGGCAGGCACTTTCCTCTTTGTACATGACTCCACTCTGAAGGCTGTAAGTCTGGAGAAAGAGTCTCAGGAACTAAAGCAGGAGACTTCAGTTAGTTTTGATTTGGTTTAATTATTTAATTAGTATGGCTTGGCTCATGTGTGCATTCCTCTTATCTCCTAAACTTTATGCTTAATTATAGTATGCTCAGTGGTTGTACATAGCCCATTAACATGAAAAAGATCTAATTTACCTATAATACCTTTTTATACACTTTGTTAACTTCCTGGGATTATAGGGTTATAGTACCATATGGAGTTGGCATTTCTTTTAGGTTTTAGTGTTCTAGACTTTCTATATTGTTAATAATGTACTCCGTGCTGGATACTGTAGAGACAATAAAGAAGGATAAACTGTGATCCCTGAGCTCTTGGAAGTTCACATAGTTATTGAAATAATTGTACATTGGCAAAATTTAACTGTGACATAAAGTATGCTGTACTACTATAAAGTACTGTGATGATATAGAGAAAGATTAATTTTGAATAAAGGAATCAAAGTTTTTGTGTGTTGTTTTTTAAACTTGTAAGATTTGAGTTGAACTTTGTCAGATAAGTATTGTAGAGAGGTCCTTAAAGGACAAGGGAATAATTTCAGCAAAAGCACAGCTAGAATGATTTAGAATGGATTTGAAAGTAGAGTACATTGGAGTGGTTAGACCATAATCTGTGTATGGACTAATGTGATAGGAGTTAGGGGTGGGGTAAATGTTAGGTAATGATTAGACTTTGGAGGCTTTTGAAAACCTGCATAGTTAGAGAAAGGGAAGGGGCAGGGAGATGAGGTGAATATGTGTGTTAAGAAGACGGCAGAATTTTTTTTTCAAGAGAATATCATGATCAATTCCATATCTTCCTATATAATAAAGAGCTAATATGCAAATGGCCCTCACACCCTTGCTCTGGAACTGCTCACCCTGGTGTGGAGTGTCTGAGCAGTTCCAGAGCAAGAGTGTGAGGATAATTTGCATATTAGCTCTTTATTATAGAGCCAGGCACAAATGAGCTAGCTAGAGAAGAATGGGGATAGCCAGGCACAAATGAGCTTGTGAGAGAGGAATTGGGGACCAGCCAGGGCCCCAGGAGAGGAATAAGCCACCTGCCTCACGATCCTCTTTCGTTGTGGCCGGCCTGGATTCTAGACCTGTGGCTGGCCAAAGGGAGGGAAGCCCAGGTTCCCAATACCTGCAACCTGCCAGAGGAGGGAATCCTGGGTCCTGGGTGTGGGGCGAGGCAGAGGTGGTTAGGGGTGTCAGGCCAGCAGGGGAGCAGTTAGGGGCAATCAGGCAGGCAGAAGTGGTTAGGAGTGATCAGGAAGGCAGGCAGGAGAGTGGTTAGGAGCCAGCTTGTGAGAGGCAGTCGGACATCCCCCGATGGTCCCGGATTGGAGAGGGTGCAGGCTGGGCTGAGGATCACCCCACCCTTGTGCACAAATTTCATGCACCAGGCCTCTAGTTTAGGACGATAATTAGGTAGGGTATGTTTAAGGGTAAACCAGGAAAACTTGTAAAAAATATGTTTATGATTGTTTGAAAGAAATAATTGGCCTGAAATGCAAAAGTAGTGAAAGAGATGGAGGCAAAGAAGTTAGTTATATTTGTATTTAAAATACTTGCTGAACCTGCAAGTCAAGAGTTATGGCTGACAACTAACTCTGTAAAAGTTGTCCTGCATTTTGAAGGTAAGAATAGAAAAATACGGGGTATTTTAATGAATTGTATAACATGAGAAATGGAATTAGGATATAAACATAAGTGGAGAAGAGCAGTTCTTTACTAGATCAGAGTTTCTAAGTGTCAATTGTAGATTAGGGTTAATGTCAGAATTCTGACTAGAATAATAAATTATTTGGGAAAATAAAAATGTTGAGGGGAAAAAGAACCATCCGTATGTAATTTTATAACTTAGAAATAACATTAGTTATATGTGTATATTTTTATATATGATATAAATTTATAATAGGTAATATTTATTAAGCTCTTATCATATGCCAGGCACAGTTTTTCATTTATTAACTCACTTAATTTCAGAGTGATCTTTTAAGAAAGGTACTGTTATTCCTTGTCTTATAGACAGGGAAACTGAAGCATGAGAAGTTAAGATTTTGATGAAGAGTACATAGTTAGGAGAAGATAAAGCCAGAATTCAAACCCAGAAAGTCTTAATTTCTAGTTGTTGATCTTACAACTGTCATATTTTATCTCTCACAGGTTTCCTTTCTGACTGGCATTCTCAAAATTTAGTGTAGAAACCGAACATTCATGTGATTAAAAAAAAAAAGATTTCTTTTGTATTTGATTCTTGATAGTTACTAACCAATATTTGGGAAACAATTAGATTCAAATAATGGACTATCTTTTGCTTCCCAGACTCTTGATTGAATTCACATTACAAAATGTTACTAATATATACACAAATATATATTACATTGCTGATGCATGCTCACATGCTTTATAACATTTTTATTATAAGGTTTTTTTTTTATCCTGATATAATATTTATCTGATATATATAATTTAAGTCTCTGAGTTGTGCCTACATATGATTGGCATGTACAATTTTTACCTTTGGATATAGATTAAAACATTTATCTACTTTAATCCAAAAAAGAGAGATGACCAGGATTCAGAAAATTGTTAGTTCTGTTGAATCCTTTAATACAAAAAAATCAACCCAATTGAGTTGCAACAATGGGTATCAAATACTTAATTCTTATTTGCTGAATTGGTAATGATTAATCCTAATTGGATGCCTACATTTTCAGAAAGATGTGCCGGATGGGGTGAAAGAGCTATCAGAAGGTTCAGAAGAAAGCAGTGATGGTCAGTCAGATTCCCAGAGTTCTGAGAACAGCAGCAGCAGCAGTGATGGAAGCAACAAGGAGGGAAAAAAGAACAGGTGGAAAAGGAAAGGTAAATATACCTGATCCATTAATAAAGAACTGTAGGATAAAATGCCCTTGTTAGTAGTTGCTTTTATTTCAGACCCTTGATCTATTAGTCTCCTTCCCTTACCCTTTAGATCAGTACTGTCCAATAGAATTTCCTTCTGTCATGGAAGTATTCTGTATCTACCTATGCTGTCCAACGCAACAAAGTAGTCACTAGCTACATGTGTCTATTGAGCACTTAGAATATGGCAAGTGTGACCAAGGAGCTGAATTTTAAATTTTATTTTAACTTAAATTTCAGTAGCCACTAGTGGCTACCACATTGGACACTGTAGCTCTAGGTTTTACCTGGTTTTATTTTCAGCTCTTGGCCATTGATAGCCTGCTTTAGGATACTCTGATTTTACTTACCCCCTAATTTTCTAAAATTTGAACTTTTTACTCTTAACTCTCTCCTTACTAGGAAAAGAATGCTTTTCATTTCTATTAGCAAAGACTAAATTTACTGTGCTAGCCTTTGCTCTCATCCCCTGCTTGGTGTCTGCTTCATAGTTTACCCAATAACCTTCTTTAAGGAACAGTGTCTTGTGCTACTGCTTCCCTGACATGGATTTTCCATTTAAGGATACATATTATTACCTATTCTTTTTTATTTTTTTACCAGAAAAGGGGACAAAGCCCAAATACACATTTATTAATACAAATCATAACATCATGGTTGACTTAAAAAACACACACAATAGCCGAAACCAGTTTGGCTCGATGGATAGAGCATCGGCCTGCGGACTCAAGGGTCCCGGGTTCGATTCCGGTCAAGAGCATGTACCTTGGTTGCGGGCACATCCTCAGTAGTGGGTGTGCAGGAGGCAGCTGATCCATGATTCTCTCTCATCGATGTTTCTGACTGTCTATCCCTCTCTCTTTCTCTCTGTGAAAAATCAATAAAATATATATATTTTTTAAAAAACAAAAACACACACACACACAATAGGCCCTAACTGGTTTGGCTTAGTGGATAGAGCATGGGCCTGTGGACTGAAGGGTCCCAGGTTTGATTCCGGTCAAGGGCATGTACCTTGGTTGCGGGCACATCCCAAGTGGGGGATGTGAAGGAGACAGCTGATCAATATTTCTCTCTATCCCTTTCCCTTCCTCTCTGTAAAAAAATCAATAAAATATATTAAAAACAAAACACACAACTGTGATAAACTTTTATTACAAATTAAAAATGAGGTTTTTAAAAAATCTCAACTTGACCAGATATGAAACAATTGAAAACCTTTAAAGGTGTACTGAGAAACACCAGGCTTAAAGAAAACAACTCACTCTGTCTTTATCCAAACAGATGTGGATAATGTAAAACCCCCCAAACTGACTAGATAATGGAGATAGTTTTGCTTATCCGTCTTTAGCTCCAATATTTTGTTCATTTCTTATTGCTGGAATTATATATTCATTTCTTCTTTTTGGACAACTAAACTGGATGATGGTAAAGGCAGTAAGCTGACCTTTACTCAGGCTGGGCCCTGCTCAGCCTCAGACAAACAAAATTCTCAGCTAGTGAATTAGCTGCTTTTGTCTCTTTGCCATGTTGTGATTTAGGTTTTTCTGGGCATCTGTAAAGTAATTGAAGTTGCGGTGGTACGGATATTGAGGTGGATGCTGACCTTGGGTCTCATCTCCTTGATTTTCCTTCTCCTTTGTATTGCTGTCCTCTGTGCTGTCTTTGGTGAGGAGGGTCCCTGAGGAATCATGTACTATAACCCTAGTACATATTCTGTCTCACGGGCCTAGCTTGTTCTCCTGCATCCTGGTTGTCGGCACCCTCCATTACTTCTTCGTGCACAGGAAAGCTGAGATAATGTGCTCAGTGCACACTAATGATTCACGATCATTTTTCCATCCCTTTTTTTTTTTTTTTTTTTTTTTTTTTGCCTACTCTCACTGTTCTGGTAATTCTGGTAATTGCATGAAGGATCCCTACCATGTGAGTAGCATATAATGGGTACAGTCTACTGTATATTTACTGCCTTGCACTGGGGGAACTCCACCAGGCCATATTTTCTGCCCCCCTAGCCTTTTCTCCTTAACAACTTCAAACTCTATGCACAGTCTCTCCATCTCTCACACTGCAAACAAAGGTGGATACATGTTGTATCATATATTAGTACTCATTCCTTTTTATTACTAAACTAGTTGCCCAGTGCACGGGTTTGTGCACATTGCAAGGACATTAGAAGAGATATTTGAGTATCTCTATTTGCCCTCTTTCTGTAATGGAAGTGTCAACCAAATTCATGATCAACAATGACATATCGAAATGCATGTGTGCGATTGGTGCCAGCGAGAGCTTTATATGTATTACACATACACAAGTCAACGTTTATTTTTAAATTGCCAGTGAGCCTCATGTACTGCCGATCGGACGTACATGCAGTTGGTCACTTAGCCTTTTATATACAGTATTTAGATAATATTGCATTTTATGGCTATATCACATTTTGTTTATCCATTTGCCAATTAATAGACATTTTGATTATTTCTGCTTTTTTTGGCTATTATGAATAATGCTGCAATAAATATTTGTAGACAAGTTTTTGTGTGGATAAGTTTTTAATTCTCTTGGGTATATGAGTGAATTTGCTGGGTTATGATAACTCTGTGTTTAACATTTTGAGGAGTGGCCAAATTATATCTAAAATTGCACCATTTTACATTCTTGCCAGTAATATATGAGGATTCTAATTTCTCAATACCCTTTTGACACGTCATGGTCTGTTTTTTTCAATTATAATCATTATCGTGAATGTGCAGTGGTACCTCATTGTGGTTTTGATTTTCATTTCCTTGAAGGCTAATTATGTTGAAAATATGTTCATGGGTTTATTGACCATTTGTAAATCTTCTTTGGAGAAATGTCTATTCAAATTATAAACCAAAGAATGTATATATTAGGTCTAGTAATAATTAATGTCGTTTTCTAATACTTTTTAAAATCGAATTTATTTAAACAATACAACAAAATTTAATCAACAATATAGTTGCTGTTTCTACTACTTGTGCCCAACGCTCAGGAAGCATTTTAATCCCTCTGTTGTAAAATTCTTGTGATTTTGATGCAAAAAATTCGGTCAATGCATTTTTGAGGCATTCTTCATTATTAAATTTTTTTCCAAGAAGAAAGTTTTGCAAAGAACGAAACAAATGGTAATCGGAAGGGGCAATATCAGGAGAATATGCAGGTTGAGGGAGAACTTCCCATTCCAACTGGCGCAGTTTTTCAGCAGTGATTCTTGCAGTATGAGGTCGTGCGTTATCGTGGTGAAGAATTACGCCCTTCCGATTAATCAGTGCGGGTTCTTTTTCTCTTAAAGCTTGGGCTAACCTTTCCAATTGGGCACTATACACTGCACTTGTAATGGTTTGGTTAGATGGTAAAAGTTCATAATGAAGAATTCCTTTAAAATTCCACCAAACACACAACATCACTTTTTTCGCATGCAAGTCAGGTTTTGGTGTGGGCAGCGGAGCCTCATTTTTGTCCAACCATTGAGGCCGCCTTTTCATAACTCAACAATAAAAAGACAACCCAACTTAAAAATGTATTAACATACAGCACCCATTTTTCATCTCCGGTAACAATTTGCTCTAAAAACGGCAAACGGTTTTGACGAGAGAGGAGCGAACTGCAAATTGTGACTCTTTGATTACGGTTGTTGTCGGTCAACTCATGAGGAACCCATTTTCCAAACTTTTGGACTTTGCCAAGTGCACGCAATTGATTGGAAATTGTTTTCTGTGAACAATTTAAAGTTGTCGCAAGCTCTTGTTGGGTAATTTGAGGATTTTGCACCAAAAGAGCTTGAAGAGCTTCTTGATCAAAATTGGACACACGGCCTCGACCACTCTTGTCATCTAACGAAAAATTTCCCTCGCAAAATTTCTCAAACCAACGCTGGCATTTTCTGGCGCTAACTGCATCTTGACCAAGAGCACTACAGATGTTTTTTGCAGCCTCACTTGCTTTTCTTCCTAATTGGAACTCGTAAAGCATGCAGTGCCGAATATGCTCTTCATCCGCCATCTTCTTAGCCCTAGTTTTGCAACAAAAACCAAACCAAACACAAACTTTTTCAAGCAAAACTTGTTAATTGCACTTCACACGTTCTGTAGATACCACGTGTTTGAAGGTTATGTCAATACAAGTCAACGCCAAGCAAGATTTTAAACGAATGTTTAAAAACGACATTACTTATTACTAGACCCGATACTTAAATGCATAGCCCATGGACCTGGGCAATAGGGTGGTGAAGACATGGTGGGGGGGTGCGGGTCTGGGTAGGGTCCCAGAGGAAATAGGTACGGGGGTAGAGGGATACAGGAGACATCTGTAATACTATCAGCAATAAAAAAATGTATTAAAAAAAACCAAATTACTTGCCCATTTTTAAGTTGGGTTGTCTTTTTATTGTTGAGTTATGAAGAGTTCTTCATATGCTCTGAATACGTTAGACTATTTATATTTAAGTAATTACTGATGGGGTTTGGTTTAAATCCACCATTTTGCTATTTATTTCTTATCCTAATTTTTCTATGCTCTTTTTAAAATTTAGATTCAGTTTTAAAAAATACTTTGTTTTATCTCTACAATTACCTTATTATCTACGCAACTTTGTTTTAGCTATTTCTTTAGCATTGATGATATATCTTTAATATAGTATACCATCAAGTAATATTTTATCACTGCTTATCTTATATAATGAAGAGGTAGTATGCAAATTGACCATCACTCCAACACACAAGATGGCCACCCTCATGTGGACACAAGATGGCCATCACAAGATGGTTGGCAGGGGAAGGCAGTTAGGAGGGACTAGGCCTGCAAGGGAGGGCAGTTGAGGGTAATCAGGCTGGCAAAGGAGGGCAATTGGGGATGACCAAACCTGTAGCATAGGGTAGTTGGGGGTGAACAGGTCAGCAGGGGAGGGCAGTTAGGGGCAATCGGGCTGGCAGGAGAGGGTA